CATAGTTTGATGCCGTTAACCATTCCTCGAATTGGCCTTCTTCCTTCATGATCACGTGGCTTTCTCCCTGTGTGCCTTACTAGGTCCCTGGCTGTGTCTGAGGCGTCCTCCATAGTTTGATGCCATTAATCAATCATTCCTCTAATTGGTAAATATTCCTCTAAACTATTAACAATCCCATGGTAACTCCGTGAGTACTGAGAACCTTCAGATTATCCATGGCTTCCATTGTGCCTTAGAGACAGAACACACTGGGTTGCCCCCAGGATAACTGGCTACTCATGACAGTAGTTCTTCATACTAAACCCTTAATAAAAGCCTCTGGCCGGGTGCAGCGGTTCATGCCTGAAATCCCAGCATTTTGGTAGGTCGAGGCAGGAGGATTACTTGAGGCCAGTAGTTTGAGACCAGCCTGGGCAACATAATGAGACCACATGTCTACAAAAAAGTAAAAAAATTACCTGGGTGTGATAGCATGTGCCTGTAGTTCCAGCTACTTGGGAGGCTGAGGCAGAGGACTGCTTGAGCTCCAGGTTGAGGCTGCAGTGAGCTATGATGATGCCACTGCACTCCAGCCTGGGTGCCAGATTGAGTCCCTGTCTCTGGGGGGGGAAAAAAAAAGGCTGATTATGATTTCCCTCATGTGCCCTGCTTATGAAAGAGACTGAACAGTAATATGCACACAAACATTCTAGTCTAATGAAATGTTATTCTTCACTGCCAGTTGATAAAAGGTATTCTTTTATTAACTTTCCATCTGCACATTTTTTGGTTAGTGTAAATAAGTCTCTCAGCCATCATCATTATCATAGGGCAACAACTAACAAGAGGGAGCCCTTGAGACCTCAACACACAGGCCCTCAAATAAAGCACAGCACGGGTGACTTCTGCTACTATCTATGATGGAGGAACCAGTACAGAATCAGCCTTCCCACCACAAACAACAGAAAAACTAGACCAAAAATATGAGGCAACTCTTCTAGGCACTGGACCACAGGAAGAGAAAGAGTGTAACTCTGGAAAGAAGGAAAACATCTGGGGTTTGAGACCAGCTTGGCCAACGTGGTGAAACCCTGCCTCTACTGGTGTGGTGGCGGGTGCCTGTAATCCCAGCTGGGAGGCTGAGGCAGGAGAATCCCTTGAACCCGGGAGGTGGAGGTTGCAGTGAGCTGAGATTGCACCACTGCACTCCAGCCTGGGTGACAGAGGGAGAGTCCTTCTCAAAAAAAAAAAAAAAAAAAAAAAAGTCTTGTGGAGCTGAGGAGGCAAAAGATGCCAGACCCAAGAGCAGACCATAGGCTACATTATTATAAGTATTATTATTATTATTATTATTATTTTTTGAGACGGAGTTTCGCTCTGTCGCCCAGGCTGGAGTGCAGTGGCGCAATCTCCACTCACTGCAACCTCTGCCTCCCAGGTTCAAGTGATTCTCCTGCCTCAGCCTCCTGAGTAGCAGGGATTACAGGCACCCGCCACCATGCCCAGCTAATTTTTGTATTTTTAGTAGAGACAAGGTTTTACTATGTTGGCCAAGCTGGTCTTGAACTCCTGACCTCAGGTGATCCGCCCGCCTCGGCCTCCCAAAGCATTGGGATTACAGGTGTGAGCCACTGCGCCTGGCCTATTATTATTTTTTTATTATTATTATCACTTTGAGGCGGAGTCTCACACTGTCGCCCAGGCTGGAGTGCAGCGGTGTGATCTCTGCTCACTGCAACCTCTGCCTCCCAGGTTCAAGTGATTCTCCTGCCTCAGCCTCCCAAGTAACTGGGACTACAGGCGCGTGACACCACGCCCGGCTAATTTTTGTATTTTTAGTAGAGACGGGGTTTCGCTAAGTTGGCCAGGCTGGTCTCGAACTCCTGATCTCAGGTGATCTGCCCGCCTCAGCCTCCCAAAGAGCTGGGATTACAAGTGTGAGCCACTGCGCCCGGTCATAAGTATTATTTTAAAAGCAAACTAAACTATAATACTTAGGGATGCTGCTTGGATGGTAAAGCAATAATATGATTACCATATCTTTAATTTAAGGAGGGCGGGTATGGGGAGGGTTCAGGAGGCCTCTGGGAGGCTATGGAAGCTTTATTACTTGACCTGGGAGGTGGTTTTTCAGGAATGTTTTTGATAAAGTAATAAGCTGCTTAACTGTTTTGTGCACTTTTTAAAAGATGTGTTCTATATTTCGCAATACAAATGGATTTTTTTTTTTTTTAAATAAAAAGAAAACTTCATTCGGGACAAGCTAGGCGTGTCCAAGAGAAGCCAGGACCCACCCCCAGGCACATCACCATCTGCAGCCTGACCCCCTTCTCAGGCCCGGTGAGCGGCCTCGCGAGTCACCAGACTCCCAGAGCGACGGCTGCAGGTCCCAGGGTCCACGAGGGTGGGTACAACTCCCCTGAGCACAAAGAGCCCGGGAAGGACACCGCCCAGCTCAGCACCCCCAGCACTCCAGGAGCAAACTCAATGGCCTTGGTTCGTCTGCGCCTGCGCGGACGACTCGGCTGCGCATGCGCCCTCCGACCCACAGGCGCTGTAACAGTAGGTGGAGTTTAAGGAGAAGCTGGCTCCGGGACTGGGACTGCAGTCATGTGTCCTTTGGACTGCGTTGCAGGTTCCTAAAGGGGCAACTATGTTCAGTTCTACAATTTTTTTTTTTTTTTTCTGAGACGGAGTCTTGCTTTGTCGCCAGGCCGAAATGCAGTGGTGCGATCTCAGCTCACTGCAATCTCCGCCTCCCGGGTTCAAGCGATATTCCTGCCTCAGCCTCCCAAGTAGCTGGGATCACAGGCATGTGCCACCACGCCTGGCTAATTTTGTATTTTTAGTAGAGACAGGGTTTCTCCATGTTGGTCAGGCTGGTCTTGAACTCCTGACCTCAGGTGATCTGCCCACCTTGGCCTCCCAAAGTGCTAGGATTACATGCGAGAGACACCACACCTGGCCCCCTCAGCCCCTTTTATAGTTGCTCTTCCTTCTCTTGAGAAAGACAGACCTTAATCCACGTGGAAACTTGCTGAAATGCATTGCACAGGGTAGAAAACTCTCTGAGGTGACAATCAAATAAACAATTTGAGATATTCATATCAGAATTAATAAAGAGAATGATTAACGATTGGGTAACATATCCTTTTATGATTTAGCTGATTTCCAATTATTTACATTCTTCAAAGAATAACTCAGAAATGTTTAGTGAATTTGCTCACAAATTATTTACTCACATATGATGGAGTGAGTTGGTAAATTGAGTAAAATAACAAAGGTAAAAACAGAATTGATAAAGACAGGGACGAAGGGTAGAGGAAAAATGCTGCAGACGACCTGGGAACAGGGTAAACTATCTGCTGGTAGCTGATTGTGGATGTACAAATCTCTTCAAGATTCAACTGCCTTATTTTACAGGTAACAGAAACCTTGACTCACACAGTACAGTGACTTTGTTTAAAGCAGTTTCTCAACAGCAGCAATTCTGGTATCTGGGGCCGGGTAATTCCTTGCTGTGGGGACTGTCCCATGCACTAGATGGTGTTTAGCAGCATCCCTGGCCTTTACCCACTAAATACCACTAGCCCCTTCTCCCAAACCCAGATGAATTCACACACTGCCAAATGTGGGGGGTGGGGGTGGGACAAAACCTCCTCTGGATGAGAACTACGGCTCTCAAGAAACGTCCAGTACCAGGGTAGGTGACCAAGGATTCTGTCGCCCAAGAGATGACAGAAGGTTCTAGATAAACGCGCACTCCATTGCCATTCACAAGACGTTTTGTTTTAACTCTCAAAAGCGGCAGATTTTTTTTTTTTTTTTTGAGACGGAGTTTTTTGCTTTTTGTGGCCCAGGCTGGAGTGCAATGGCGCGATATCGGCTCGCTGCAACCTCGGCCTCCCAGGTTCAAGAGATTCTCCTGTCCCAGCCTCCCGAGTAGCTGGGATTACAGGCGCAAGCCGCCATGCCTGGCTAATTTTTTTGTATTCTAGTAGAGACAGGGTTTCTCTGTGTTGCCCAGGCTGGTCTCGAACTCCTGAGCTCAGGCAATCCACCCGCCTCAGCCTCCCAAAGTGCTAGGATTACAGGCGGGTGAGCCACCGCGCCCGGCTAGAGATTCTTTACAGGACATATTAGTCCTTGTCTTTTGCCCCCACCCCTCCCCGATATTGGAAAGATCAACTAAGTGAAACATGCCTTAGTAAAAACATTGTGCCAACTTGAAACCTTGATTTAGTAAAAAATCTCAATGCTTAGATCCTTTGTCCAATGGTAGTATTTATCAGATGTATTCAGCTTGCTCAGAAAATCAAAAGGGCATTACAACCACAAAAGCAAAGAAAAATAAGAAAATTTCCCATCTTGTTCTAGTTGTAAAGATTAAACTGAAATGATTAGGCTTTTTGATTCGTGAGCCAAATACCATAACACCCTGGCCTTTGACGGGTTTGGATTTTTAACATTACTCGTGGTATTTTAGGAAGTGAGGTTACAGTTACATTTCTTATAGCTGCTAAGTGTATTAAGTTGAATGTAAGGATGCATAATATTGTTTGAATTGAGCCCCACTACCAATTCTTTAACAAATGGCATGAATTCTTACACGTAAATGATTTGGTGGAACTATTCTATCATAATTTCTAAATTGTTTATATACCAAGGTAGCCTTAATTTGTATATGTTTCAGTACAATGAAATTCCCTCTGGCATGCTGTTTGGTTTGTATTTTGAGGAACGTTTTTCTCATGGGAAGAGGAATCTATGACTTCTGTACCTAGATAATTTGTTACATTAAAAAGCTGCTCTTTCAGCAATGTAAGTATATACATACATGTTTTTATGAGGAAAAAAAAAGCAGCAGAGATCAGAAGCCTGCCACCGTGCTTGGAGAAGAAAGGAAGCCGCCGTGCTTGGAGAAGAAAGGTGGCCTTCGCAGTGCTCGCCGGGACTCGTAGTTCCGGGTCTGCGGGCTCCTCCCAGGCGGGGGTCTACTTCCTCTCTCCGCCGCGGCCGCAGCTCCCGGAAGCTGAGGGGGTTAAAGACATTCGCTTCCTTTCCCCGCCTCTTAGTCCCGCAGATTGCTAGTCGACATAGCCAATAGAAGGGCGGACTGGTACTTCCTGTTATTTGATTGGCTTAAAGTTTTGCAACCGCCCAGACAAACTTGCCGAGGATTGGCTGAGCCTTCAGTTTTGAAAATCATAGATTTCGCCCGCGCTGCGCCGCCTGGGTGCTCCTCCAGTGCGGTGAGCCCCGAAGGCCCGGAGCCGAGTGGGTCTGGGCAAGCGGGGCGTCAGCTAGGGGTACCACCGGATTTGGATCGGAGCAGCCTTCAGGGGACGTGGCGCAGTCGAGTGAGTGCGCGTGGGCGTGGGGATTGGAGGGTGGTTCGCGATTATTTCCCCGGCCTCTGCTCCGCCCCTGCCGACTCCAGACCAGGGTCGTGACTCCCCAACCCAGCTCCTGGCTGCCTGGGCATATGAGGGTCACCTCTTCCAAGTGGCGAGGTCTCCTGCCTTGGTTCTTGGGCCCGAGATGCCCCCCACCCCTTCCACCTAGGCCCTCAGCTTCCTAGAGCATAGCCCCGTCCCCTCCGCTCCCGGCTGCCTAGCACCTTGTTTTGTGCCTGCGAGGATTATTGTTGACTTGGACGCGCAGGAAGCCCGAAACCAACCCGGTGGTTTGACGGAATGATGCCAGATGGCATTTCTGTGCAGTTAAAACCCCTCTCTCAACGTCCCCGCCCCCAGCTGAGCAGCATTTTAAACTGACCTTTTCCGGAGGCTGGGCCGCCCCTTGTCTCTCCCCAAGCCTGTTCGCTGTCAGCGGTTCAGTCTCGTTCAGCTAACATGGGTTGCTCTCGGGGTTGCCCAGAGCCAAGACTGGGCGCCTTCCTTTCAGAGGTTGATATTTAGAAGGCGGTATAGCCGGGTGGTTAAGGGCACGGTTTAAAGGACGTATAGCCAGTGGCTAAGGGCACGGTTCTATTTATGCCCCTGATTTACCGGCTGATTTTGACTTCTCTTTGCCTCAATTTCCTCATCTTCTCATGCATATCCTCAAGGTTGTGGTGAGAATTAAATGAGATGATGTCTGACTCGGGCATGGAGTAGAACTCAGTAAATGGGAGCAGCTGCTATGAGCTTTCTGCACAGAGGTGTGGTAGGCACCCAACTTACAGCACCCTGAAAAGAACAGGAGTCATAGAGGAGGGCGATGGGGTCTTCAGTCTGGTGTATGGTGTGGAAGAAGTGTTGGAGAGGAAGAGTGGAGAGTGCCTCCGTTGGTGGAGTGGTGGGTCCTCTTTATCTGTGTGCAGTTGCTTACGTGGGCTGAAGAGATTTTTGCTGCTCTTCCAGGAGACTGATTCTTGGTATACTGACTCCTTCTTTTTCAGGGTCACCTCTGTTTTAACTTATGGTAACCCTTTTTAAATGGCTGCGCTAAGATCTAAGCAAACTTCCCCATGAAAGATGTCCAATTGCTTTCATGGACTTTGTGAAAGAAGCTCTCATCCACGTTGCCCATTTGAACAAATACTTTTTTAAAAGTTAGCCAGTTGTTGCTTTTCTCCGCAAATCTTTGACTTCCTTAAACAGTTTTCTCTTTTCTGGCCTGAGGTTCTGCGCTTTGCCAGGGTTGTGGTCTGGGTGCAGAAGGGTTAGGGGAAGGTGAGGGATGGCAGTGAAAAGGCCTTGCCTGTGATTGGCTGGCTGCAGAGCCGAGGTTTCAGCCCAAAGCCTGTAGGATCCTGCCCGTTTGGCCCTGCCCTGATTATTGCTGCCGTTGGCATCTAGGAGCAGGGGCTTTGAACATGTGTTGGTCAGTTCTAACCTGTGCAGATTAAGTTTATTTAGTGCCCTTTGTGTGGGGGGATGAGCACCTGTAGGATGTTTATTTCTAGGTGTAGAGTTGATGGGTGGATTAATTCATTCAACAAGTATTCCTTGTTGCCAGGCACTGCTGTGCTCTGGGCACTCAACAATGAGCAAGTCAGACAGGGGCTTGCCCTCAGAGAGCAATTGTTTAGTGGGCAGGGACAGGCAGTAAGCAACAGGTAAACAAGCACGCAAGGGCTCTGCAGAGAATTGCAGTCAATGGATGGAATCGTGGCTGGGGCTACTTTAGATTGGTGGTCAGGTTTCCCTGAGGATCTGAGATCCAAGCCATGAGGAGTGAGGCATACAAAATGGGAGACAGTGTTCCAGACACAGGCCAGAGCTTGTTGAGGAACAAAGGCTAGTGTGTCCCTGAATCAAGCCCAAGGAGGTCCCATGAGACTGAAACCTGACCTGGTGCTATGCCCTGTGAGGGATCAAGGGGTCAGCAATTTGTCCCTTCCTTCCAAGACCTTCCATTGTAGATGGGAGGCTAAGCTGTGCATGGTTCTTGTTTGTTTGTTTGTTTGAGATGGAGTCTCGCCCTGTCGCCCAGGCTGGAGTGCAATGGCACGATCTCAGCTCACTGCAGCCTCTGCCTCCCAGGTTCAAGTGATTCCCCTGCCTCAGCCTGCTGAGTAGCTGGGATTACAGGCATGTGCCACCACACCAGGCTCATTTTTGTATTTTTAGTAGAGACGGGGTTTCACCATATTGGCCAGGCTGGTCTGGAACTCCTGACCTTGTGATCCGCCCACCTCGGCGTCCCAAAGTGCTGGCATGAGCCACTTTGCCCGGCCGGTTCTTGGTTTTGAAGAAGTAAATCAGGATGGTGGGTCACTGCCCTGACTCGAGGCACGCAGCCTGTTGTTATGGCTTATGACCACCACCCATTCATTTGTTCTTTCACTCATTCTCCTGTTGGGATATTTATTGAGCCCCTGTTGTGATGTAGTAGAATACTTTTGTCTCTTGGAATCCTCAGGGAATTGGTTCCAGGACCTCCTTTGATACCAAAATCTACAGTTGCTCAAGTCCCTGATATAAAATGGCATAGTATTTGCATATAACCTACACACATTCTTCTGTATACCTTATATCTCTACATTACTTATAACACCTAATACGATGTAAAAGCTATGCAAATAGTGGTTATACTGTATTATTAGAGAATAATGACAAGAGAAAAGTCTATACATGTTCAGTAGAGATGCAGCTTTTTTTTTCAAATCCTTTCCACTGGTGGTTGGTTGTACCCATGGATGTGGAACTCACAGGTATGGACGGCTGACTGTACTTCTTCCTTGCTTGAGGTTTTCGTAATGGTTATCAAGTTTATTTTTAAGGCAGAGTCTCGCTGCGACGCCCAGGCTGGAGTGTCGTGGCGCGATCTTGGCTCACTGCAACCTCTGCTTCCTGGGTTCAAGTGATTCTCCTGCCTCAGCCTCCTGAGTAGCTGGGATTATAGGTGCGTACCACCATGCCTGGCTAATTTTTTTGTATTTTGAGTGGAGACAGGGTTTCACCGTGTTGGCCAGGCTGGTCTTGAACTCCTGACCTCAAGTGATCCACCTGCCTCAGCCTCTCAAAGTGCTGGGATTACAGGTGCAAGCCACCGTGCCAGGCTGGTTATCAAGTTTTAGGGAGGATACCTGAGCTGCTAGTTTTATAAGAAAGTGAGAAAAAACTGTTTTTGTGTTTTCCCTTGTTCAATGCCTATAGGCAAGTTTTCTTAAAAACAAGATATTGCTTACCGTTCCCTTCATGTTCTGTTTATGCTCCATTTGGAGGGCATTTCAGCTCAAGGGAGAGAGGTATGGGAGACCCCTTGAGGGCATATCTCAGGATCACTACTTTCTCACTCATTCCTTTGGAACACAGAATCCCTTCTGCTCACTGGCCGCTTAAAGAGGCAGTTGGGTTGGATGTTCTTTGGCCTGATGTCTGCAGCCAGCTTACATGTCGTGCAGGGTGGCTGTGTCTTAGCCCTTACTTAACATGAGTAGTAAGATGAGGGCCTACTGGAGAGCGAGAGCGGGACTGTGTTTGGGCAGGGAGTGAGGGGCCCTGGGGTGGCCAGGAAGGCAGATGGCAGTGCCCTGTCATCTTCAGCCCAGAAAAGGCCATTTGTAAGGAGGACCATCATTGTCAGAATTGGCTGGGAACTGGGGACAGTCATGCTGTGGGGGGTGGGGACAGGGAGGTATTTGAAGAGTGTGAGTAGAAGGGCCTCTCTTTGCAGAAACGAGGCTACGGCATTAGTGTTTGGAATTCTGCAGCTCTGGGGAGTGGCTGTGAGCAGAGAGGGGCCCTGGTTCGGGCACTGGGTGTTTGTGGTGGTTGTGGGTGGGATGGGTATGGCAGCTTGGAGAAAGCCCCAGACCCCTACCATGAACCTCTAACTTGTGCCTCTTGTCCCTGTCTTCACCAGACAGAGCCACCATGGGGACGACAGCCCCAGGGCCCATTCACCTGCTGGAGCTATGTGACCAGAAGCTCATGGAGTTTCTCTGCCACATGGATAATAAGGACTTGGTGTGGCTTGAGGAGATCCAGGAGGAGGCCAAGCGCATGTTCACCAGGTGAAGGCACGGGCACAGTGAGGGGATGGGAACACCAGCAGCGCCTGTCTGGGCTGCTTTGGTCTTGGGGACACAACAGCTCCTCGTCCCCACCTGCCTGGCAAAACCGACAACCTATCAGGGCTCCCTGCTGTATACTCTGTGTGCAGCGTGCTAGGGGCCCGACCTAGTGTCATGGGAAGAGGCAGCAGGAGAGATCGAGTCCCTTGCCTGTTCGCCATCGTTGCTGGCTGGGCCTCTCAGGGTGTGGGGCAATGGACGTGCACCTGGGGGCTTACTTCCCTGCCGTGTCTCCAGGAGGAAGCCCTGAGTGCCCGCAGGTGATTTGCACATGACCTTGGAGAGCTTGCTTGGTGCTGGTCACCCCGGCTTGACCTGTCGCAGCCAGGAAATGGGCAGGGGCTAGGCTGGGTGGGAGAGGGGACCAGTGGTTCCCAGGCAGCCTCGAGTGACACCCTCCTGTGCCAAACAGAGAGTTCAGCAAAGAGCCAGAACTGATGCCCAAAACACCTTCTCAGAAGAACCGACGGAAGAAGAGACGGATTTCTTATGTTCAGGATGAAAACAGAGACCCCATCAGGAAAAGGTAGAAAGGGTTAGGGGAGGGTGAGCTGGGCAGTGGGCTCTGCGGAGGCTTGGTGCCATCTGGGAGAGTTTGATTCTGAAGATGTTGATTTGGAAGTAGCAGCCTGTAGGAGGGGTGGTGGGTACCACTGCGGGTACTGCGTGGGCCATGCTGAGAGGGGTTGGGATGCCACGGGGAACTACAGCTTGACCCAAGACCCTGGAGTCCAGATCTGTGGCTGTGTGTTGGGGTGGGGGTATTTGATCTGGGCCCTGGAGGATGGCAGATATTTCCATAGGTGGGATGAAAAAGAGAAACCGTCCTTCTGTTAGGTGAGTGTGACTAGGGTGTGGACCACGTGGCTTGTCCCAGCCCTTATATTGTCATGCTTGTTTTAGTCCCCGTCAAGAATGATTGGGGCTGCAGAGTGCTAGGGAAAGAGGCTGGGTCTTGGGGTTAGACCTGGGTGTGAACCCCAGCTCTGCCCCTTAGCAGAGCAGTGTGGCTTTGAATTGAATTTCTGCCTCTCTGAGCCTCTGTTCCTCATCCCCAAAATGGGGGTAGTGGTCCCTACCTCCCAGGGCCGTGCTCTGGATTAAGGGAGAGCGTGTGTAAGGCTTTCGGCAGGGGCTCGGTGCGGTGTGACTTCCGTCAGCCAGCGGTTTGGATGCATATAATCTTCCTGGCCAGTTCTGTGAGAACTGTGGCATGATCCCCAATTTACAGTTAGGCAGACTGAGGCTCAGACAAGAATGGCCTGGGGCCTCCTGGCTAGAGGCGGCAGAATCTGGGCTGGAACCCAGGTCTTTTGCCTTCACATTCTCTCATCATGCTCCATCCAAGCTGGTGGCTCTTGGGGAGACTGGGCGCCACCCTGTCCTGCTGCCTGTCTCAGCCTCTGCCCTGCTGTCCCTGCCAGGTTATCCCGCAGAAAGTCTCGGAGCAGCCAGCTGAGCTCCCGACGCCTCCGCAGCAAGGACAGTGTAGAAAAGCTGGCCACAATGGCGGGGGAGAACGGCTCCGTCCTGCGGCGTGTGACCCGTGCTGCGGCTGCGGCTGCTGCGGCCACCATGGCATTGGCTGCACCTTCTTCGCCCACCCCTGAGTCTCCCACCAAGTTGACCGAGAAGCCCAAGGATAACCGCACCCCGTGCCAGCTGGTGCCTGTGGTGGAGATTGGCATCAGTGAGCGCCACAATGCTGAGCAGCATATCACCCAGCTCGTGTCCGTCCAGCCTCTGCCCCGTACTCTGTCCCCGACTCCGGCTTCAGCCACAGCTCCAGCCTCCCAGGGCATCCTGACGTCGGATGAGGAATCAACACCTAAGAAGTCAAAGGCCAGGATACTGGAGTCCGTCACAGTGAGCTCCCTGATGGCTACACCCCAGGACCCCAAGGGTCGAGGGGTCGGGACGGGGCGGTCTGTGTCTAAGCTCAGGATTGCGCGGGTCTCCCCTGGCCCACGGGACTCGCCAGGCTCTCCAGACTCTCCGTGGCGGGAGCGGGTGCTGGCTCCCATCCTGCCGGATAACTTCTCCGTGCCCACGGGCTCTCCCGCGGACTCTCAGTCGGTGCGGCACAGCCTGGTCGCCCTGTCCTCCCTGAGTCCCCAAGTCTTAGCCCAGAAGTACTCTCTGGTGGCCAAACAGGAAAGTGTTGTCCGCAGGGCGAGCAGAAGGCTTGCCAAGAAGACTGCCGAAGAGCCCGCTGCCTCTGGCCGCATCATCTGTGAGTCTGGGGGCTTGGCAGTGGCGGGTGGTCCTTGGTGCCAGGCTCAGATGGAGGGTTTCTGAGGGATCATCTAGCAAGGAGCTGTCCAGAGAGCTTTCTGCAGTGAAGTGGATGTTCCACATCTGTGCTGTCCTGGGTGGTGGCCGCTAGCTGGCTCCATCTGGCGATTGTGTCCTCAAAATGTGGCTAGTCTGATTGAGGAACTGAATTTTAAATTGTATTGCATTTTAATTTCTTTAGATTTAAATAGTTACATGTAGCTAGGGTTTCCACGTTGGATGGTGCAGATCTGACCCAACCTACTTGCTTTACCAGTGAGGAAATTGAGCTTCAGGGAGGTTGGCCACCATGTGGCTGTGGTTACTGGCCATGTTGAGGCTAGAGTCTGGGCCTCTTACCCAGGGCCAGATCGTTCCTCCCAACCCCGTGCTGCAGAGGCTGCTTAAATTCACCGGGTTTGTGCGCCGCCCATTAGCGACACTGCGTTTGATCTGGAGGAGGGAATTATGGCAGCAGGTTCCTTCTGGCAGATCAGATGACTGGGCATCTGATGGGAGCCAGGAGGGGGAACCAAGCTGACTCTGGAGCTGGCCAGCGTGGGTCTGAGTGCCAACTCAGCCATTCATCCAGCCCGCAGCCTGGGGCCTCCACTCCTCGCCTGTCAACTGGGGCTAATCGCGTCACTTCAAAGGGTCGTTGTGAGGTTTTCTTTGGTCCCCCCACACAGGGAGTTTAGAAGGGTGCCTGGCGTATGGGAAGGACTGGGTAACGTTAGCTGCTCTCTCAGATCTCAGCTTAAGGGGCCGTTGCCCACCGGAGCAGGTGTCTGGAGGGGCAGGCTGGCTGCATGAGGAGGAGGTGAAGTCTGAGCTAGGAGGGTTCTGAAGGATGGCTGCGCTTTTGCTAAGCGGAAAAAAAAATGCGGGGATATGTATTCTTGGCAGAGGGAACAGCTTGTACAAAGACCCTGATGCCTAAAGCAACAAGTGATGGGGGTCTGGGGCTCATGTCTCACACAAGAGCTTGAACTTGACCCCACCGAAGCAAAAGAAATGGCCTGATGATGGTGAATGGAGGGAAACAGGGAGACCAGATAGGAGGCTGTTGTAAGGATGCAGCCAGAGGATGGGCGAAGCAGCAGATTGGTGGTGAGGATAGGCCAGGATTTATCTTTTTTCTTTTTTTTTTTGGATGCAGAGTCTCACTCTGTTACCCAGACTGGAGTGCAATGGCACGATCTCGGCCCACTGCAACCTCTGCATCTCGGGTTCAAGCAATTCTCCTGCCTTGGCCTCCTGAGCAGCAGGGATTACAAGCGCCTGCCACCACATCAGGCTCATTTTTTTTTTGTTTTTTAGTAGAGATGGGGTTTCACCATGTTGGCCAGGCTGGTTTCGAACTCCTGACCTCAAGCCTCACCCAGTCTACCAAAGTGCTGGGATTACAGGTGTGAGCCACTGCGCCCAGCCCAGGTTTTATCTTAATACATATTAAATAGTAGCTGGCATCTGCCAGGCACTTTAAGATTTACAAAAGGAAAGGTTATTTCATTTAGTCCTTACAGCAGCACTGTTAGCTTGTGAGGAATTTTTCACTTTATAGAGGAGGAAACTGAGGCTTAAGGAGGCCATGGAATCTGTAAATCAGGAAGCTGGGGCTTGAGCACTGCATGTTTCATTCTGTCCAGAAAGTCAGGCGCTTGCAGAAGAGGCTTTGTACAAGGCCCCAGGGCAGGGCCTGTCAGGCAGGGGAGGGCACCTCACCTTGGCAGCCTTCTCTGTGCCTGAGTCTCACTGCCTGGGGGCGGGCCTGCTCCAGTGTTTGAGGTGACGCAGTCTGGGGCGTGTCCAGATGTGCAGTCTGGCACACTGTCTACTTCTGGATTCTCAGAAGGATCTAAATGGTTCTGATCTGTTTTGGAGATTCTCTCAGGCCTGGATCTGATCTTGGGAAGGGGCCCAAGGGGGCAGGTGAGGCTGGGCCTGTAGAGGGAGAGCCAGGCGGGGTTGCAGAGAATCTCTGAGACCTTTGGAGCAGACATCCGGCTCTAGAGCTCATGCCTTTCCATCACTTTTCCCTTTCTATCTGCCTGTTCCCTGCCCATGAATGGGCTTCTGATTTGACTGCTGCATGTGACCTAGGTCTGTCTAACTCCCAGCCCAGCATCATCTCTCTTCTTGAGGTGGGTAGAGGAGAGAGAGGAGGATACAGGATCTAGGATCTGGAGTCACACAGACCCTGGGTGACCTTGGGCACGCCCCTTCTCTCAGCCTCAGTTTTTCTGTGTGAAATGGTGATAACACTTGCTTTGAATGTGAGTAGATAACTCATCTTGGTGCTTGGGTGTAGTGGATACTCAGTACATCTTATTTGAGAAAACTCACCAACGGCTGACACTCAGTTTGGGTGTGACAAGGCCGACCCCTAGCGAGGAGCCGCAAGGGTGTCAGGGAGTGGGGCGGTGACAGGGAGGAGGCTTCGCGGGGTCTCCCAGATCCCAGGTTCTGGGAGAGGCTCTCGGGCAGCTGCGAGGTGGGGTCTTGATTTGGGTTTTCCCCATGAGCAGCCCTTGACACAAGGATTTGAGTTCAATACATTAATTTTTGGGAAATTAATGAGTTTAATTTCTTAAAAATTAAATTCGGGATGGGAAGGAAACACCTGCACCAGAGGAATGGGAAAATGAGACAGGAAAAAAAGCCAGCAGGCAGGATGGGCCAAGGGGGCCTCTGGAAGCCAGAGTGTGGCCCCGGGGCGTGGAACTGCTGTGTGCCGGCAGGAATCCCCTGCCTCCTGGCCTGGTGCGCACCTGCCTGCGGGGCCTGTGGGGCCTGTGGGGCAGCAGTTCTGAAGTGGATAGGAAGGGACAGGCCCACTGCCACAGGGCTCCACCTTGGGGCGTTCGAGCCACCTCTGCATTGGAGAACAGCCCTTCCGTCCCTCTGCCAGTGCTTGGGCCACTTCCCTACCACCACAGCTCTGAGGCCTGAATGGCGTGCAGATGGCACTTAGCATTCCAGAGAACCGTTGTGCTGGTGGGAGAGCCATGTAGTCACGTGGCATCTTCATCAGGGAGCACATGAGCTGGGATGACACTGCATGGGGAGATGAGGGGGACGTGTCTTCTGGGTATAGACCCCTTAAATGGGGGTCATCACCACCCGTAACTGTCAGCCTGGCCCTGCAACTGCTCCCACCACCTTCCCAAACCTGGCTACTATACCCAGGAAGGGTCCCGGCTTCCCTTCTCTGTGGCCTATTGTCTTCCCTGTTTTCCTGAGACCCTGTGCGCCCCAACCTCCCACTGGCCGCCTCCCAGCCTGAACTCTGGCCAAGCCCCCATGGCTCAGGATGCGCCAGCTCAGCTACCTTCTCTCTGTTCCCCAAAAAAGCCTCTTTTTTTCCTGCCTCGTGGCCTTGGCCCTCCTTCTCCCCAGACCAGTGGCACTGGGAACAGGCATGCTCCCAGCTAGGAAGAAGCCGGGGACATAAAGCTAGCAGCTGTGGTGAGGATGCCAGCGTGAGTGCTGAGGGTGAGGGCCCCAGGTTTCCTGTTTTTAATGATAAGCCTCAGCCTCAAAAAGCTTTTGACAGCCTGGATAACATGGCCAGACCCTGTCTCTACCAAAATGGGAAAAATTAGCCAGGTATGGTGGCATGTGCCTGTAGTCCCAGCTACTCAGGAGGCTGAGGTGGGAGGATTGCTTGAACCCAGGAGGTCGAGGCTGCAGTGAGCTGAGATTGCACCACTGCACTCCAGCCTGGGTGACAGAGTGAGACTCTCTTAAAAAGAAAAAAAAAGCTTTGATTATGAGGTTTTATCTATTGATAGTTACTGTGTTAGAAATTAAAACAGGATTTTAAAAGTATTTAAATTTTAGTTAATATTTTTATGTGAATATTTAGTACTTTAAAGATTTAAAAATATTGTTTAATATTTTGACATTACAACATGTAAGTACCAAGCCTATCACCTCTTTACATTAAGACTTTTTATGAAAAAATAACTTTTCCAAAGCAAAAATGTACTGAGACTGGCATTATTCGACATTTTGCAAATCTCTTTATTAGTGTGACTTTAAAGAAAGCTCATTCTGTGTTTGATCTGTTGTTGCATTGCGCTGTTTGGGTTAAAGTAACTGAAGAACTGGCTGGGCGTGGTGGCTCACACCTGTAATCCCAGCACATTGGGAGGCTGAGGCGGGCGGATCATGAGGTCAAGAGATCGAGACTATCTTGGCCAACATGGTGAAACCCCATCTCGACTAAAAATACAAAAAATTATCTGGGCGTGGTGGTGTGTGCCTGTAGTCCCAGCTACTTGGGAGGCTGAGGCAGGAGGATTGCTTGAAACCGGGAGGTGGAGGTTGCAGTGAGCCGAATTCACACCACTTCACTCTGGCGTGGGTGACGGAGTGAGACTCTGTCTCAAAAAAAAAAAACAAACAAAGTAGCTGAAGAACATCTGGCCTCACACAGACGTGTAGTTGGGAAAGGGAGGAATATCTTCATAGCTTTTTCAGATAATTGTGTATATTCTTTGTTGTCAGGACCAGCGCAAGAAATGGTAGTTCTTCAAGGTTTGTTGTGGTGTAGAGTCTGAAACCATGTTGCTGGTTCCATAGGGGTCTACCTTGCACCTTTTTTTTTTTAAAAAAAAAAGATGAAATCTCACTATGTCACCCAGGCTGGAGTGTAGTGGCATGATTTTGGTTCACTGCAACCTCTGCCTCCCGGTTCAAGAAATTCTGTTACCTCAGCCTCCCGAGTAGCTGGGATTACAGGCGCCCACCGATGCCTGGCTAATTTTTGTCTTTTTAGTAGAGACGGGGTTTCACCATGTTGCCAGGCTGGTCTCAAACTCCTGATCTCAAATCATCCATCCGCCTCGGCTTCCCAGAGTGCTGGGATGACAAGCGTGAGCCACCACGCCCAGCCACACTTTGAATGGATCTTTTAGATGTGTGTGATTTCATAACCGCATACATCGATCATTTAGAAAATATTGTTTCACCAGGTTATGCACGTCTTCCAAGTGTTGACACCCTTCATTGTATAATATCCTAAAAAAGCACATTTGTTTTCTGACCTCATCAGAAAAGTCCTTAGGTGTTAGGATGCTGTGGCCCTGCTGGTGGTGGGTACGTGCTTTTCAAAATTCTACTCCTGGATTCTTTTTGTTTCAATGTTTAAATTATTGTTAGCACATGGTGTTTTATTTTTGTGATGGATTCACTTCATGGACTTGTGAGGAAATGTCTTCCAGATAGCCAAGATTGAATAACCATCGTGTGTCAGTCATTCTTTTAAATAATAATAGTGTTCCAGGTGAAAAAGTGGCTAGTGCAGCTGGTAGCTTAGAGACAAGCGCTTTTCACGGAGAGTTGGGTTTGCAGTAACAGGCGTTCGGCACACTTCCCACCTCAGCACACAGAAGAGTAGAAATCCATGTACTTGAGTTTAGATTTAGTAAAATTAGGACTTTTGCAGGTGCGGTGACTCACGCCTGTAAACCCAGCACTTTGGGTGGCTGAGGCAGGTGGTTCACTTGAGGATGAGTTCGAGACCAGCCTGGCCAGCATAGCGAAACCCTGTCTCTACTAAAAATATAAAAAATTAGCTGGGTGTGGTGGTACGTGCCTGCAATTCCAGCTAATTGGGAGGCTGAGGCACAAGAATGGCTTGAACGCAGGAGGTGGAGGTTGCAGTGAGCTGAGATTGAGTCACTGCATTCAACCTGAGTAACAGAGTGAGAGTCTGTCTCAAAAAAAAAAAAAAAAAAAAATTAGTACTTTTTACACCTTCATCAAGGACATTCCTCAGTGAAACTGGACATCTCTCCTTCCTGTGAGTGTGTGGTCCGAGGATAGTGTTTGATGCTCTGGCCTCAACTGGGGCTGAGGCTTCAGCAGCTTGTTCCTCATTGCTTTTGAGCCCTCAGGGCAAGTGTCAGCACAGTGAAAGGGGGAAAGTAACATTTTAGTATCATGATTTTAGTATCATGATTAGTTATGACCTCGTGGATCCCCCAAGGGTCTCAAGGGCATCCAGGGATCAGAGAGTGCAAGCTGAGAACCACTGGCCTGGACATCCTCCTCCTTTGTCTGTAAACTCCTCCAGACCAGCTCAGAGTCCCTGTCATAGGCTTTTAAAATTCTCTGCTCTGGACCAGGCGCGGTGGCTCACACCTGTAATCCCAGCACTTTGGGAGGCCTAGGCGGGTGGATTACTTGAGGTCAGGAGTTTGAAACCAGCCTGGCCAACATGGCGAAAGCCCGTCTCTACTAAAAATACAAAAATTAGCCAGAAATCGCTTGAAGCCAGGAGGCGGTGGTTGCAGTGAGCTGAGGTTGTCCCACTGCACACCTGTCTGGGCAGCAGAGCGAGACTCTATCTCAAAAAAAAGAAAAAAATTTCTCTGCTGTGTTCCGTCATTGCCCGTGCTGGTGGTGTTGACGGGACTATTTGATGATTGTTATCTAGACCAGACAGTGGTTCTGTTTTGCTCACCGTCGGGGCCCTGGGGCCTGGATCAGGTCCCAGTACACTGTAGGCACTTGATGAATATTTGTTGACAGAATAAACTGCTTTGTCTTGGGCCCCATGCTGGGAGTTTGGGGCCTGGAGCTGCAACAGACATTGTCCCTCTTCTCAAGATATTCCCAGCCCAGTGGGGGTGCCCAGCCGTGCCCAGATGGGCATGGTAAGACCATCTGGGAAGCAGCAGAGGACATGAAGCCAGGAACTCCGATAAAGACACTAGGATGAGTGCTGAGGGGCATGGCAGGACTAGTGATGGGAGCAGTGGCCAGGCCCTTGCTGGAACCTGGTCCCCTGGACCCCTTCGAGTGGGACCTGTGTGGTTTCTGATGACACCTTTTGTGCCTTTCTTTTCCCCCTCAGGTCACAGTTACCTGGAGAGGCTCCTGAATGTTGAGGTGCCCGAGAAAGTTGGGTGAGTTCAGTTCCAGGGCTTTGCAGGTGGGCAGGGCACACCAGGACAGGGAGCCAAGGTGAGACCAGGGCTGGAAGCAATTCCTGGGCTGAGCCTTCCCCACTGATCCCTGACTGCCCAGGGGCTGCCCGTTTCCCCTGTCTGACCAGGCAGCGAGTGACGTGGGCGTTGGCCGCCTGGTCTCCTTGCAGCGCCCGTCAGTGTTGCTGGTTGCCTGGCCAGACCTGACCCGGGGCGTGAGCTCCAGAGGTTGGGGGTGAGGCGGAGCTGCCAGCTGCCATTCAGACTGGCTGGGGTAGGATAGTGGTGCTCCAGGATTACACCCAGTGCTGCTTCTGGCCAGGACACAGACTCCTTTTCCTGGAGGCCGTGTCCTGCCATCACTAAAACCAGCCCCCTCCCTCCTTCCTGCAGAGCAGAGGGTTTGTTGTTGGGATGGGGAAACAGGGTGACTGGGCAGACCTGCTGGCCTTGCCCACCCCATGGTGAATGGAGAACAGACCACAAAAGAGATGCAGCTCACCTGGGTCCAAGAGGTGAAGGTGAACTGAGGACAGGGCTCTGTGTCAGCTCTGTGGTGGGGTGCTTGGGAGATGAAGCCACATTCTGAAGCTGACATCCCTTGTCTGCCCACGGAGCCATGGCTTGGAGCTGCCATCCTCCCATCCTGCAGGGAGCTGTGGGTTGGTGGCCCTGGCCAGGGCACCTTGTGTTGACATTTTGAGTCCGCATCCCTGGAGTGGGAGAGGGACTCCCTATGGGGGAGGGCTTGGACTAGCTGGGCAGTCCCCACAGAGCCCCGCTTTTGTTTTCAGTCCTGAGCAGGAGTCCGCCGAGGAGGCTGAGCCTGTAGCGGCAGCTGAGCCAGAGGTAACGCAGCTGCCTGGGGAAGGGAGGACTCACCTCTGGGGCTCCCGCTCTGCCCTGCGGCCATCCGGGGCCTTGGGTTCCAGGTCGAGACCCCTAAAGCCTTGGTTCTTTCCACAGGTCCCTGAGAACAATGGAAATAACTCGTGGCCCCGCAATGACACGGAGATTGCCAATAGCACACCCAACCTGAAGCCTGCAACCAGCAGCCCGGAAACACCCTCTGCAGGGCAGCAAGGTGAGGCCTCCCTGACCTGCCGCTTTTAGTGCCCAGAGCCACAGCGGGCCTTGGTGGCCTCGGCCTGACCGTCTCTCGGGATAAGGAAGCCCTATTTCTGGGCCAGTAGGCTAAAGAGAAATTAAACCTGGGGGTGCAGAGATCCCTTTTGAGTCTGTAGGCTTCACCTCCCACTGTTGGGCTGGAGCTGTCACTGAGTGCTGCATGGGGGGCTGTGGCTGGTTGGGACAGGAAGCAGGGGAAGGGGCTGCATTGGGGTACGGATATGAAGAGGCCAGGTCAAGGCCTTGACCTTGACTCCAGGGGCCAGTGGGAAGAACCGTGGGCTGGGAAATGAACACGCACCTGGCCTCCTGCTTTGCCTCTGCTGCCAGTTCCTTTCTGACCTTTGTAGGTCCATTCCTGTCTAAAGAGGGCTGGAGAACAGTGGGTTTGGGAGTATCCCAGGGTCCTGCTCACATCTCCCTGAGAAGGGTGCTTTTCTCTGGTGGGAAGTGCACTATAGCTATGAGATCTTGAACATGGCCTCCTCCTCTTTACGACGTGGTCAGGGACAGTGGTCATGCCAGCCTCACGGCCCTCAGGGCTGCTGCGAGGAACTTTTGGAGTCACGTGCACTTTCTCCTAGCATGAAACAAAACGTACTGAACCTACACCCCGCATGTTGACCCTGCAGCCGGAGCCACCCCCTCCTCCCATCATGGCCACACCAGCCGCATGGCCCAGGAGGGGTGGGATTTAGAAGCTGTGCAAGGGGCTTAGAGCTCCTGCTTCTACAAGGTGTCCACACACTGTTCTTAGTGTCAGAGGTGGGTGGGGCATGTCTGGGGCTGCCGCCTCGACGGGACCGTCCCGCCCTGCCTTGCCTACCGTAGAGCCAGGCACTGGCGGGGAGGGGTTCATGAGCTGTGGGTAGCCAGGCCCTGGCATCTGTAGATTCCTCAAAGCTAGTCAGGGTTAAGGCTGATATGTCTGCGTTTGGCCACCCCGGAGCTGCCGGGAAGGGAGCCTTGCCCACTGCCAAGGCTGCTGCCCAGGGACCCCTTCCCCCTAGGCCCTCATCCCTACCCTGCCGCCGCCATCGTTTCTGCAGCCTTGCTGAAATTGCTGTTTTCACAGAGGCCAAGACAGACCAAGCAGATGGACCCAGAGAGCCACCGCAGAGTGCCAGGTTTGCATCAGGGAAGGGTGTGCAGGCAACTCTGAGGGCCTTGGAGGACACAGCCTGGTGTCCTTGCTCAGGGAGGGTGGATGTGTGCTCAGGGGCTTCAGAGCCTCTCTGCTGGGGTGTGGCCTGGTGTTGAGACTTAACCAAGGAGGCGGCTCCATGCTGTGGATGAGCGCCAGCCTGGGAATAGGGCGAACCGGTTGTTGACCCCGTCTTAGGGTGGTCTCCTGACCATGTGACCTTGGACTGTTCACCTCCCTTCCTCTGAGTGGGCAGCAGAGGGTTGGTTAGGCTCTGCAGCCTCTTTCAGCCTAGAGGCCAGTGGCCGGGGCCCGGAATTGTTCACCGGGGTGACTTTTGATGGGCTGTGGCGGGCTGCCCTGTGATGCCGCCGCCCACGCCTTGGCAGGAGGAAGCGCAGCTACAAGCAGGCGGTGAGTGAGCTGGACGAGGAGCAGCAGCTGGAGGATGAGGAGCTGCAGCCCCCCAGGAGCAAGACCCCTTCCTCACCCTGCCCATCCAGCAAGGTGAGCCAGGCCCTGCCCTGCCCTAGAGCCCTGACCCGCTTCGGTACCCTGCCCCGCCTGCCCACTCCTGACCCTGGTCCTCGTCTGCAGGTGGTGCGGCCCCTCCGGACCTTTCTGCACACGGTGCAGAGGAACCAGATGCTCATGACCCCGACCTCAGCCCCCCGCAGCGTCATGAAGTCCTTTATTAAGCGCAACACTCCCCTGCGTGTGGACCCCAAGGTGAGGGGCCTGTGCCCAGGTCGGGCTTTGTGGGAACCAGGCAGTGTGACTGAAGGTCCAGTCTGTCCCCTAAGATACTGGGAACAGTGTGAGCCTGGGCGGAGGCAGGTGTGGCCTGGCACTGTTAGGGGCCAGCTGAAGCCTCTGTGGCCACCAGCTGCCTTGACCTTGGGGCACTGCCTTGCACTTGACCTTGTGGGCTCTGGACTGCAGCCTGGAGGCTCGGCCGGCTCAGTGTGAGCCCTGGAGAGCTGTGTGGTTAAGGTGAGGGGTACTTGTGGACACCTCCACCGTTGGGGTGAGGGTTGGGTGACAGGAGAGGCGGTGGGGGTGCTGCTGGCAGGAGGGCAGGCCCCACACACGCTTGCTGGCACAGCTGGGCATGTGGCCTGCCTGGCAGGACGTCCCCCGGCCTGGCATTAACTCTTACCTTTTTCCTTGTCTCCTCTCCACAGTGCAGCTTCGTCGTAAGTAAAGCCTTTTCCTGTCGGTAACCTCGCCCCACCTAGCACTTACGCGCTGTAGCCCCTTCCCTGCGTAGCTGACAGCACCTGTAGATGCACTAACATCGTAAGCGGGAGGGGAGCCTTAGGAGGAGAGTGGGACGGTGAGGGGTGCACTGGCTGGAGGCGCCCAGCAGTTCTGGGCCCCAGCGTCTTTCTCTGCCCTCCCTGCCCTTGACTCTGCTCCTAGGAGGAAGCGAGGGGGTGCGGCTTTTCACGAGGGCTACAGCTTGACGTGTTCCCCACAGCCACCTCCCTACCTCCTCCCCAGCACCAGGCCTCCTCAGGGTCTGTGGGTCTTTGAAGAGAACAGACAGGTTGTCTGTGGTCCCCAGAGCCACTGAGATTTATTGGTTCACAGACCTGAGCAGTAGCCTTGAGGCAGTGGGATGACAGGGGAGGGCAAGTGTGGGTCTGAGCTGAGGTGGAAGGCCGGGTCTGGCTGTGCTGGGCGACAGCAGAACAGTGAGTGGTAGCGTCTAGAAACAAGTCACAGAAGCTGTTCTCTTCTCAGACACCTCAGAACTGAGCTGAGCCAGGCTGGCTTCTGAGCAAGGACCTTCGGATGGGGACATGCTTAACCCTCAGCCCCAGCTCCCCGTGCCATTTGCCAAGGCCGCAGCCGCCTCATTCCTTTAGTTCCTGCAAGCCTTCTGAAGAGTCCTCTGCAGTCACACAGGGACACCTGTGACAGCCAGGAGGGCTTCTGCCTCCAGCTGAGGGCCTCGGCAGGTGGGAGGGGCTTCCCAGCAGCTGGCCAGGTGGGCCCTGAACTGGCTTCTCCCCATGGAGGCCTGTTCCCCTCTTGTTGGAGAGGGTGACTGACAGTAACCTTCCAGTGGCCTTACCACCTGTGCCGCACCCAGACCGATTAGAGCCCTGCAGGTCTCACGGGGTGTTAGAGAAGACCAGGAAGTGGCTCTTTCCTGCTTTGGGGATCCCAGGGCCCTGCACAGGGCATCTAGTGGGTGGGGACAGTCCATAGTTAGGAGACCAGGGGCCTACGGAGTCCTTCTGGACTGCATCCTGAACATTATGCTACGAGCCTCTGGGCCTTGTTTAAATCTATGAACAAGGCTGATATTTTCTCAGCATTGCAATTTAGCAGCAATTGACCTGGTTAGGTTTAGGCTGCAGGTTCCCATCTGCCTTCTGGGGACTGTGGTTCCAATGTTAGTCCCGATTTTGAAGATGGCAGTGCTGTTTGGACTTTTCCCAGGTGTGTGCCAGTCAGCAGTCAGCCTGGGACCTGGAAAGTGGTCTGTTAGTTTAGTTCTCAGCCTTTGGTGTGATAATTAGGGTCAGATCCTAGCATCTGCAGCTTGGAGCTGAGCCTATTCGTTTGTCAATTCCCTGCAGTATTATTTTCCTCATCTCCTCTGGGACTCCCTTTTCTGTCCTCCAGCTGGGAAGCTGGTGCTTTAGTTACCTTGTTCTGCTTTGTGTGCTTCTACGACTGTGTCCAGGGCCACCTGTCAGGGGGACAGAGAAAGAAAAACACACAGGATTTGGCCCACACTTTTGGGATCACAGCTCCTCCTTTGAGTTTTGACTCGGCAGCTTTCTCTGTCCAGGGTCACCTGGCAGGGGCACAGACAGAAGAGCAACACATAGGGTTTAGCCCACACTTTTGGGTTCACGGCTCCTCCCTCGAATTTTGACTTGGCAGCTTTCTTCAACTGCTGCTGCCCCTGGTTGCCGTAGGACTGCTTATGGGCTGAGGCACAAGGCAAAGAAGAAAAGAGAAAAAACAAAAATGGGGTTTCTGCCTTCTCTGAGCATTAGATACTCCCTTTCTGCTGCCTGAGTCAGGACTAGAATTCTTTCTGTCCATGCCCCAGTGACTCCTTTGGAGTTCCAGGCTGTATTGAGTTAGGCTGGAGGAAAACAATGGGGACCTCACTGCTGGTTGGCTGGTGCTTCCAAGTCTGGTCTTCTTCCCCATCTGCCTGCTCCTCTTTAGTTTTAGAGGCCTCAAGTAGCCGCTCCTTGCATTCTGTCCAGGTTTTGTAGCTGCGTTCAGTGGGAGAGAGAGGTGGAGTGTGTCTACTCCATCTTACCCATTACTGGGACCCCTTCTCTCCGCCTTTGGGAGGATGGTATTACCTTGGAGCCAGATTTCTAGGTGAGAGTGCTCCTCCAGTTAGGCTCAGAAGCCAAAGAGAAATCAATAGTAACCAGTACAGGAAGAGCGGGTCGCTATTGGACACTGTGTCCAAAGGTGGGAGTCTACTGGGAGCCAGGCTGGGGTGATGGGTGTAGGCTTCACTCTGGGTCCCAGCCTCCACCCAGCCCCAGACTATTCAAGGGGAAAGCACCAGCCTTGTCCTTGGCCAGGGAAGGCTTAGAGCCCCTGCCCATCCCTGCTGGCTGCCCATTGCTGTGGCTGTGCCCCTGGGGCTTTCTGTGTCTGCCCAGGAGGGGGTGCCAGCATCAATCAGCTTGTCAGCCAACGAGTACTTTTTAAAAGTTGCCTTAAAAATGAACGTAGCCAGCTGGGCATGGTGGCTTACGCCTTTAATCCCAGCACTTTGGGAGGCCAAGGCGGGTGGATCCCTTGAGGTCAGGAGTTCAGGACCATCCTGGCCAATATAGTGAAACCCCGCCTCTACTAAAAATATAAAAATTAGCTGGGTGTGGTGGCACATGCCTGCAGCTTCAGCTACTTGGGAGGCTGAGGCACAAGAATCGCCTGAACCTGGGAGGTGGAGGTTGCAGTGAGCCGAGATCGTGCCATTGCACTCCAGCCTGGGTGACAGAGCAGACTCTGTCTCCAAAAAAAAGCATAGCCATGTCACAGGAAGTTTGGAAAATAAAAGAAAATTAATACCGTTCCTAATCCGTCTCACTAGACTATAGTAACCTCTGTTAGGATTTGACAGTATTTCCTTTTATTTTTTTCAACTATTATGAAATAGTTCATATACACAAAAAAATATGTATACGTATAGTATGGATGTTATAAAGCATGATAGTCGTACGTTAGCCCTTGCATCTGCCCCGCCCCCTGACTGTGACATTCACCGTGACTGGGAGAGCTGCCTTTCCGCTCCTCACCCTTCCAAGCTCATCCTGCATTTTCGTTTTCAATGCACAGTTTATATAGTTGTCATCAGCACATAAATCCTATTTGGAGCCTGACTTTTGTGCTACCTAAAACTTGGCAGGGCTCAGTTGAGGGCACTGTGGCTCAGGCCCCTGTGAGGCAGCTGAGTGCTCCTGGGAGGAAAGACGGGAGCTGCGGGTCTTGGCCTGGGTGCTGTTGGGGCCACGTTGGGGATACCTCTGCCTAAGAAGCATTCTGATGCTGCCACCCACGTGGCCGCAAGCTGCTGGGGACTGTGGGCAGCTTTTGGGGCTGGATGGGGGGTTGTCCTTGCTCATGTCCCATCTCCCTCGCTCCCTGCCACCCCAGGAGAAGGAGCGGCAGCGCCTGGAGAACCTGCGGCGGAAGGAGGAGGCCGAGCAGCTGCGCAGGCAGAAGGTGGAGGAGGACAAGCGGCGGCGGCTGGAGGAGGTGAAGCTGTAAGTGGCCTGGCTCCCTGCACCGTGGCCTGCCCCAGCCTTGGCGGGCCTCCCCCTGACTGTCCTGTGTCCCGCAGGAAGCGTGAGGAACGCCTCCGCAAGGTGCTGCAGGCCCGCGAGCGGGTGGAGCAGATGAAGGAAGAGAAGAAGAAGCAGATTGAGCAGAAGTTTGCTCAGATCGACGAGAAGACTGAGAAGGTGGGAGCCTGGGCTCTGGGGGACCCAGGCAATTCAGACTTAGCCCAAGGATTAGGACTGGACCCCTCAGGAAATTGCTGATTTGTCACTGTAGCCCTGTACCCAACTCCTGCGTGCCCCACAGGCCCTGGAGTCCACTCTGAGCTCAGCCGAGGGCTTCCCTGGCAGCCCTTTGTGAGTTGGATCTGACACTCAGGCAGGACCGGCTTCTGGTGTCCTCTCCCTGGGCGGTGGGAACAAGCCAGGTGTGCAGGGGCAGGTGGGGCCTGTCACGCAGAGTTCTGGGCCCCACTCTGCAGGATTGGATGTGGGTGCTCCAATGGGCACGTGTGGGTGGGCTCTGCAGGCCAAGGAGGAGCGGCTGGCGGAGGAGAAGGCCAAGAAAAAGGCGGCGGCCAAGAAGATGGAGGAGGTGGAGGCGCGCAGGAAGCAGGAGGAGGAGGCGCGTAGGCTCAGGTGGCTGCAGCAGGTGCGAGCGCAGGTGGGCCTCAGGGAGGAGGTGGGCGGGGTGGGCACCGTCTCAGCACCATGGGGCCCTATTGGGTGCACCCCGCCTTGTGGGGTTGACCCAGACCATCTTGTTGCTTCACGCCAAGAAGGAGGTTTCCCAGAAGCCTCCAGGGCGGGGATGGTGACCAGAACCTGCCTCTCATCTTCTGTAGCAGCAGTAGTTTGAGGGTTAAGTGCTCATACTTGGAGCCAGACTGCCTATCTCAACTCTGCCATTTATTAGCTGTGCGACCTTGTGCAGGCTGCTTGACCTCTCTGCTTCCATGCCTTCAAGTAACGGTGAGGGTTAAATGTGTTCATGTCTAAAATGCTCAGTAGGGTCTGACGCCTGCTGAGAGTTCTATGCAATTGCTGTTATGGTCCATTCCCTCACTGTTCTGCCTAGAAGAGTAAGGGCCCAGCTCGTCCCAGTCAGTCTTAGGACTCTAGAGAAGGCAAATCCATCATTAGGGCTTATGTGACTAGTCACCAAGGTCAGGTATTTACTGTGTGCTAGGCACTGTTCTAAGTGTGTTGTGCCTATAAATCCAGCAACCCCATGAAGTGTAGGAATAACTGCGGTCTCCATTTTATAGACGAGGAGACGGGCCAGGGGCTTTCAATGCTTGCCCGTTGTTTCACAGCTGGCGCGTTTGGCTCCGAGGTTCCTTTCTGCTAAATCTACAGCAGCAGCGGCTGTCACGAGATGCCTTTTCAGGCTGCTGCTGGTGGTTCTGGCAGAGCCTCGCTCGGGATGTCCCACGGCACCATTCCTGTGTTGTCCGTGCTGGTGGCTGATAGGAGGGGCACCTGGGCTTCGGGCGAGTGGGGCTGCTATCCTGCCTCTGGCCCTGGCCCAGCCACAGCACCCGACCTTGCTCTCCGTTTCAGGAGGAGGAAGAGCGGCGGCACCAAGAGCTGCTGCAGAAGAAGAAGGAGGAGGAGCAGGAGCGGCTGCGGAAGGTGGCCGAGGCTAAGCGGCTGGCGGAGCAGCGGGAGCAGGAGCGGCGCGAGCAGGAGCGGCGTGAGCAGGAGCGGCAGCTGGCAGAGCAGGAGCGTCGGCGGGAGCAGGAGCGGCTCCAGGCCGAGAGGTGAGGGACCTGCTGGCCCATCTGCCTGCCCTCCGTGTGTGTGGAAGAGAGACGGTGTGGCCCTTGCCTGGACACAGCCCCACCTGCATGCGAGGGTTTGCAGGTGCTTTCCTTGGTACCAAACCCAGGGGCCTACAGCTAGTGGTCCACCGGAATACACTCCCATTGGCTATGGGCGATCCAAGGAGTGATGGCTGGGCTTGCTTAGGGCTTGGCTTGGTTCTGCATCCAGCTGCGTGTGCTGACCTCTTTGGTGTCTTTTTGTAACTGGCAGGTGTGGTGCTCAGAGGATGAGCTGATACTTCTCAGCAGGGCCACCATGGGCATTTTGGGCAGGAGAGATCTTTGTGTTACATTGCAGGTGTTTGGCATCCTTGGCCCCTGTCCCCACTAAATGTGTCTCCCCTGATGAGGACGATAACTCAGATATTTTCATACTATTCTCCTGTCTTGGGAACCGTGGACCCAGGAGCCCTGAGATCTTCCAGCTGTGCAGATGCAGTGGTCTCTGTACAACAGACATGTTTAGTTTTACGGGCATTTGTCCAGGGCCTGCCCTGAGCCTGGTTGTTCTGGGAGTCGTGGGGATGCCAAGGAGGAAAAGCCACACTCACTGTTGGTCGGGAGATACGTGGGATCCTGCGTCTGTGCGCGCAGTAGAGCACAAGGCTCGTGTGTGTGAGACACGCAGGCCCCGTAGCTGTTCCCTCTCCCTCTCTACCTCCTGGGAAACACCGGGCAGCACTTTTTTTCCGTGTCCATCTTTGTGGGTGGCTTCAGGCTTATCAGAGAAGTGAGAAGTCACAGCCAGAGGGCTGCACTGCGTCAGGGCTGCTTGATGGGGACAAAGCTGTCCGTGGTCCTCTGGTCAGAGTCTGGGAAGGCGTAGGGTACACTAACGTGGTTGAGAATTGCAGGGTGCTGGGCAGGGGGCTTTGAGGGTGGCGGTGTGATAGTCACAGTGTCAGCAGCTTTGGTGGGTTACCCCAGCTGCATGCTTTACACCTGTTTCCTTGTTTAGTCCTCAGCTGAAACCCATGGTGGCGTGGGAGCCAGCAGCTCCACTTCACACAGGGAGAAACAGGTCCAGAGAGGTTAAATGACGTGTTCAAAGTCGTGAGCCAGTGTGTTGTGGCGGTGACTCCAGAACTCATCCACAGCCCCTTGTTCATGCTTGTTCATGCTTGTTCATGCTTGTTCATGCTTGGAGCTGGTGTCTGCCCTGACGGTTAGGATAATTAGGGGTATTGTGGATCATCCCATTTGATTCTTGTGTTGACCCTGGAGGAAGTGTGTTCTGGTCTCCATTGTATAAAAGTGTTATGAGGCTCAGAGAGCTAAGTTACAAGGAAAAGTGGGGGCCAAATGTTGGGCTTCAGCTTGTGTTCCCTGCACCCTCAGGTGTGCACACTTCTAGCCTCCGGGGCAAAAGCGCAGCTCCTGGCTCTAAGCTGGTTGCCCATTCGGCAATCCCACCATCTAAGGTGTGTCCTGCTGGCTGGGCTGGCTTCCCCAGCAGGGATGGGAACAGGGCTTGGGCTGGGGCTCCACTTCCTGTCCTGACAGGCTCTTGCTGGGTCCTCAGGGAGCTGCAGGAGCGGGAGAAGGCCCTGCGGCTGCAGAAGGAGCGGCTGCAGAGGGAACTGGAGGAGAAGAAGAAGAAGGTGAGGGGAGCTGGGTTGCGGGCTCCCCTGGGGTCTGCCCTGAGCTGTGGGCTGGTCTAGACTCCCGCGGCAGGGGCTGCCTAGGGAGGGGAAGGAAAGGGAGGGGAGGGAAGGGCACCTGCACAGCTCCCTAACACCCCATTGCCGCCTGGTTCCAGGAAGAGCAGCAGCGTCTGGCTGAGCGGCAGCTGCAGGAGGAGCAAGAGAAGAAAGCCAAGGAGGCAGCAGGGGTCAGCAAGGCCCTGAACGTGACTGTGGACGTGCAGGTGCAGCCTGGGCCCCAGTGGAGAGGCTCTCGGGTGGAGGGGCCCAGTCTGATTATTCTCTTCCCAGTAGCTGGAGGCACAGGTTACGTTAGGCCACTAAGGAAAAGGACAAATACACTTGACCCAATTGTTTTCACTATTTTTTGTATTCTTTGTTATTCTAAAAGTAGAATTTGTTGAGGTGGGGGATAAAAAGGAGCTAAACCTTATAAAAGAGTATAAAGTTTTAAGAAAAGGGACCCTCAGGAAAACTCTACTAAGCCCATTGTATATCCTTGTAGATTTTTGCATATGTAACCCTTTTAACACACCCAGATATTCTCTGTCTCTCTTTTTCACCCATATACACACATATTTAAAATGGTCACGTACCATTTGGTGGCTTGATTTCCAGCCCCCTCACCCCTACAGTTTTTTTTTTGCTAGGCATATTGTAGACATCTGTCTGTTTCAGCACAGGTAAATTGCTTAGGTTTGAGGGCCGTGTACCTTCATTGTGCTGGAATTCAGCCGGCTCCTCTTGATGAGCATTTGATCTATTTTCATTTCAGTGCTGTTACCAAACAAAACATAATGTTTTCATTGCAGCACAGTTAAGATGCGGAAAACGTGGAAGTTAGTATGGTGTCTGTCAACGATGGATGGTTAAGTTGCAAATCCTGGAGTCTCCTGATCGGTTCCCAGGAGGATTCTAGACACACTGGCCTGGAAGAAAGTTTGCAATACACCTTAGCATGAAAAAAGGGGACACAGAGTAGTGTGTGTTCTGTGACTTTTTAAAATTAAAACTAGGCCTGGTGCAGTGGTTCTTGCCTGTAATCCCAGCATATTGGAAGGCCAAGGCCGGTGGATTACTTGAGGTCATGAGTTCGAGACCAGCCTGGTCAACATAGTGAAACCCAGTCCCTTACTAAACATACAAAAAATTAGCCGGGTGTGGTGATACACACCTGTAATCCATCTACTTGGGAAAGCTGAGGCATGAGAATCTCTTGAACCTCGGAGGTGGAGGTTGCAGTGAGCCGAGATCACACCACTGCACTCCAGTCTGGGGGACAGTGAGATTCTGTCTCAAAAAAAGAAAAAAAAAAAAGTGATCCTGCACCTTTTGTTTCTCCTATGAAATGGGAGGAGGTGAGCAGTGCCCCAGTGCTCCTCGGTGGTGAGAGACCGGAATGCCGCGGAGGGAGCTGATGGCCATGTTTGTTTTTCCAGTCTCCAGCTTGTACCTCATATCAGATGACTCCACAAGGGCGCAGGGCCCCTCCCAAGATCAACCCAGATAACTACGGGATGGATCTTAATAGCGACGACTCCACCGATGATGAGGCCCATCCCCGGAAGCCCATCCCCAACTGGGCCCGAGGTAAGCAAAGCCCACAGCTCCCTGGTAGACTCAGGCCCTTCCTGGTCCTCACCTTGAGGGCCCTGGAAGTAGTGGGTTGGCTGCTATGGTGTTGGGAGGCTGCTGAGTGCTTGAGTTGGCGGCTTGAGGCTCTGGCCTTGGGCATGCATGTGCCCGGGGGAGAGTGGGGCACCCTGTGGTCATTGTGCTTTCCTGAGGACCAGACCTATGAGGTTGGGTTCCTTTGTTCTCAAAAAAATATATGAAATTGCGCTGGCCTCGGGCACAGCATATGCTGCTGCGTGTCCTGACTTGGACTGGGCCCCTCCTTAGAGTCACATCCAGCCAGGCTGAAGAGACTTGGACCCAAGTAAGCCACCTGGGGCTAGAGCTAGAATGGGAACGGGTTTAGGCAGAACACCAAGCTGGAGCCTGGGGCCTCTGGCCAGCTGGGGGAGGCAGGAAAGGCCCTGAGGAGTGCGCGAGGCACTTGAGTAGGATCTAACCTGGAGTTTACAGGCCCCAGCATTAAACAAGAACATGGGTGAGCGTGACTGCAGTGCCTCAGGCCTGAGTGCAAGGCCAGCTTGAGTGAGCAGGGTAGGTGCTAGCAGTGGGTGCTGCCAGAGTGGATAGGGCCAGTGGGTACCATGGGTGCCTTGCAGTGTTTGCTGAGCTGGAAGTCAGGGAAGGGCCTGGAATCCCATAGCTGGTGGGCACTCTGCAGAAACTTGTTTTTGTGAGTTTCACCTCATCTGAACCCTACCGTAACTGGCATGTGCTTTAAGCCTCTTAACTACTAGTGTCAAGTTGTTTGGGAGATGGCAGTGAGCAGAAGCCAGATCACTTGCAAAGTCACCTAATCGGAGGTGACTTTGAACAGCTTACTTAAATAGTTTCCTCATCTGTGAAAGGGGGGCGATGACAAGACCCAGCTGAGGAGTTGTATTGAGAGTGACATGAGTGAGCTCACGGCTGGCCCTTAGAGCCGCACCTGGTGCTGAGCAAGTGCTGGTGCATGTCTGGCCTCCTGATCCCCTGGGTCTTCCTCAGCCCCGTTGTCAGGACTGTGCGCTCCCACATCCACTGCCCAGCGGCCCCTCAGCACTGCGCCAGGGCCTATGGGGTCTATGAGAAGCAGCTGGCCAGGGTGGTCGAGGATGGCATCCTATGCTTAAGCTCTCGAGCTTGGCTTGTCTTCACACGTAGGCTCTGCCATTGTTAGCTGTATGCCTTTAGGCAAATCTGCTGAATGGGAGAATACAGAACATGCCTCCCAGGTGGTGGTCGGGACAGGTTCAAGGAGTGCCTGGCTCATGCAAGCTCTCGAGGACTTTGCACAGGTTAAGTTGCCAGAGGACGGTAGGAAGGATGTGACGCAAGGGCGTTCTCTGGGTTTGATGGTGGTACAGGCAGGGGCAGGGCTGAAGAGGGTGACAGAGCTCTCTGTAGGGAGGTTGGAGAGGGTGAAAGGGCTCTTTAGGGAGCAGGGGATGGGGAGGTTCATGGAGAGCCCCAAGGCAGTGTCTGGTCTGTTGTCTCCTGTAGGCACCCCGCTCAGCCAGGCCATCATTCACCAGTACTACCACCCGCCGAACCTTCTGGAGCTCTTTGGAGCCATTCTCCCGCTGGACTTGGAGGATATCTTCAAGAAGAGCAAGCCCCGCTATCACAAGCGCACCAGCTCTGCTGTCTGGAACTCGCCGCCTCTGCAGGGCGCCAGGGTCCCCAGCAGCCTGGCCTACAGCCTGAAGAAGCACTGAGGCTGGCCTGCGTCTTTCTTAGCAGCCTCACCTCCTGTCTATGTCTATCTATCTGTCTGTCGGTCTCTGTCTTGGTCTGTCCACCTCCTTCTTGGCATGCCATTGTGGAGGGCTCGGCCAGGTGTATATAAACGTCCTCTGTGCTGGGTGTTTCTGCTGCAGGTGGCAGGTGGCCCCAGGCCTGTTTGGAGGATGGGCTGGGTGGGTGGGTGGGGAAGAACTGGGCCCAGCCCCACATGACCTGCAGATAGTGCTCTGTAAATAGTTGTTTTAATTTAGCTGAATGTTAGCGTTTTAGTCTTTGGCATTTTAGTATTTGGGAGGTAGATTAATAAAGTATATTCCTTCAAGCCTGCTGTTGATACCGTGAAGACTGGGCGCCTCAGCCCTGGCCCTGTAGCTGTGTGTCTTGGGCCACCGGTGGCCTGCAGGACCAAGGTACTGTTCCATCACCTGCGGTGTGCCTCAGGATCACCGGGTGCAGACGCCCGCCCTCGGAGATGCTGCTGCAGTGGGTGGTTCCACTGCCTGGATAACCCCTGAGGAACATTTCAGTTACTGTCACGATGGGGCAGGTGGAGCTCCTCCCTGTTTTTTGGGGTGCTCCCTGTTTGTAACGGGAAACTTGCTCACTGGGAAAGACCTGTGTCTTGACACAGCCCTGCCACTTAGTCCCCTACCCTCTCTATTCCCCAGGCTCCACCCTTGCTGCACAGGTACAAATGGACCTGAGAACATCTGTGTGCTGGTGAAGCATGAGGTCTGAGTAGAAAAGGGGTATCCCTTGAGCCCACCTTGGGACCAGTGCTTGCAAGCAGCGAGATATTTCCCCAGCAAAACCAGGCAGCTGCCAATTAAATGCTTAGCGCCGATGAAAGCTGGCTGTGGTCCTGCCTGTGAGCTGCCTGCTGCTGCCTTCAGAATGCATACATCTGCTACTCTAGCCCGGGGTTGCCAAACTATGGCCTCTGGGCCAAATCCAGCCACAGTCGGTTCTTTAAAGTTTTATCGAAACACAAGCAATGGAAATGCCCATTTCTTTACCTGTTGTCTCCAGTTGCTCTGCTCTGAGGGCAGTGTTAAGTTGTGTAGCAGAGGCCCATCCATGCAAAGCTGAAAATGTTTACTATTTGAACTTTTACAGAAGTTCTGCTTAAGGACAAAATAAAGCCTAAATCCAAGAATACTTTTAAAAATGAGGAAATAGTGAACACAATAGATAGAAGTCTGGAAGTTTCTACCCATGCCAAGAAAAGTGTTTTATGGTTTGTTCAAATATGTTGTGCAGTTCAAATTTTTTCCCGATATTCTCTGACTAGACACTTGTACTGAGTAAACTGGCGAGTGTGTCTGTCTAAAACCACAATATCAAAATATCACTTAAAGCATCTTTATATAGTGTGTTTAAGAAAAAGTTATTATTCAGCAGAAAGGTAATTGCAATTGGTCTGCATATTTACCAACACTTGGTATTGTCTGTTTCTTATTTTAGCCATGCAAATAGGTGTGTACGGATATCTAATCATGGCTTTCATTTGAATTTCCCTAATGGCTGATGGTTGAACATCTTTTCATGTACATTTCTGTCATCTGTATATCTTTGGTGAAGAGTCTTCAAATCTTTTGTTCATCTTAAAATTGGATTGTTATGTTACCGTTGGGTTTAAGAATCTTTACATATTATGAATACAAATATGTTGTCAGATACATGCTTTGCAGTATTTTCTCCCAATCTGTAGCTTGTCTTTAAAAAAAAACTTTTTTTTTTTTTTTAGAGATGAGGTCTTGCTACATTGGCCAAGCTGGTCTGAAACTCCTGGTCTGAAGTGATCCTTCTGCCTTGGCCTCCCAAAGTGCTGAGATTGTAGGCATGAGCTGCCATGCCTAGCCCAGCTTTTTGTTTACTTACCAGTGCTTTTCACAGAACAAAAATTTTAATTTGATGAAGTCCAATTAATTAAATTTTAAAAATAGAGTGTGTTTTTTTGTCATGTCTAAGAAACCATTGTCTAGTCCTAGGTCCTAATTCTCCTTTGTTTTCTTCTAAATGTTTTTTATTTTACATGTTACATTTAGATTTATGATCTATTTTGAGTTAACTTTTTTTTAAGTATGAAGTTTACGTTTTTTGTTTGTGTTTAGGAGCATATGGATGGATGTCTAATTGTTCCAGCACCATTTGTTGGAAAGACTATCCTTTCTCTGCTGAATTTCTTTTATATCTTTGCCAGGAGTTAGCCATATTGGTATGGGTCTATTTCTAGACTTTTTGTTTTCTCCCATTGATCTGTACATCTCTCCTTTTGCCAATACCACATAAATCAAGATGACTATAGCTTTGTAATAAGTATTAAAATCTGGTAATATAATTCTTCCAATTTTATTTTTCTTTTAAAATTATTTTGACTATTGTATCAGTGTTACTTTTCCATTTAAATTTTAGGGTTAGCTTATCTACAAAAGTCCTGCTGGGATTTTGATTGGAATTGCATTAAATCTATAGATAAGTTTGGGGAGAATGAACATATTTATGATCGTCTTTTAATCTGTGAACATGATGTGTGTCTCCATTTATTTGCATGTTTAGTTTCTTTCTTCAGCATTTTATAGTTTCAGCATGCAGATCCTGTACATATTTTCTGAGATTTATAACTATTTATTTTCTTGGAGCTGTTGTAAATGGTATTGTTTTTCTGATTTTTGGTTTCCACTTGTTCATTGCTGATGTATAGAAATACAGTTGACTTTTGTGTCAACTTTGTATCCCGTGATGCAAGTAAAGCAGTACTGAGGGGAATTTATAGGGCTCAATGCCTGTGTTAGAAAAAAGGTCTCAAATCAGTGACCCCAGCTTCTACTTTAAGAAACTAGAAAAAAAAAAAGAGCAAATTAAAAGTGTACACAGAGAAGGGGAAATCATGCAAGTAGAGCAGAAATCAGACATTAGAAAGAGAAAATATAGAAAATTAACCAAAAGCTAGTTCTTTGAGAAGCTGAAGAAAATTCTATTTAGACTGATCTGAAGAAAAGATAGATTACCAATGTCAGAAATTAGGTAGCTTCACTACAGATTCTACAGATATTAAAACAATAAGACACTATTATGAACAACTTCTAGGAATACATTTGACAGTTTAGATGAAAGCAATGCAGATTCCTAAAAAAATACAAATTAGTTTACTTAGGAAGAAATGGAAAACCTACATAGCCCTATGAAACGTGTTATCACAAAGAAAACGGTAGACATAGGTAGGTTTAGTGGTAAATGTTGCCACATGTTTAAGGAAATAATACTAATTCTACACAACCGCTCACATGAAATATAAGAGGAAAGAATACTCAGTTCTGTCTCTGAGGCCAGCATTGCTTTGGTCCCCAAATCAGACATTGCAAGAAAAGAAGACAATTATCCCTCATGAACATCAACACAAGAATTCTTAGAGTTTCATCAAGTCCAAGTTAAATAAAAAGGATTACACTTTTTGTTGTTGTTGAAGACAGGGTCTCAGTCTGTTGCCCAGGCTGGAGTGCAGTGGTGGGATCTCAGCAACCATATCCAAACCACACCAATATCCCTTTCATTTTCAGGGTAATTTCTGACCTTGGTTAAAACTGCCATTTCCCCTAGTAATCAGAAAAGCCTTATTGTGGGGTTTTTGATACATTTTTATAGTTTTATGTTGTCTTCTTTGTTTTAAGGCATATATGAAGTTGCTTCAAAATTGGGAACAAGAATTGCCACATTCTTTTGTTTTTTCTTCATGTTTTCTCCATATTTTTCTTGTTCTCCTCTTTTATCCTCCAATCCTGGGAGGAAAGTAAGTGTCATGGGTGAGGAATTTCCACTTCCTGGACCACTGGTCTCTGGGACCATCCACAATCCCTCAGCCTGGGAGAGTGCTCTGTTCTTCAGCATACTAAAAATGGCCCTAGCCTGCCCTTAAATGACTCTAGAGGGGTCATTCAAGTGTACGTTTGTATGTAAGAAGATGATTAATATGTCAAATGTGGCTAAAAGGAGCCAGGAGGATCTTTAGACACAGTAATCTTTAGACACAGATCTTTAGACATATTCCCGCAGCTACCTTTCAGAGGTGGGGAGTTTTAGTTCTTCCCTGGTAAATCTCTGTCAAATTACTAATTATTGATCTCTGATAATGACTAATTATTGATCCCTACTTCATGATTGTCTCCTTCACAGCTGGTGAGCAAGCCACTGATTCTAGACTTTCATGACTTTCTCATGGCTTCTTACTGACCAAATGATAAACCGCTCAGGATTTCCTGTCTGTGCTGTGTGGGTTAATGTCCCCTGAGCCACCTTCTTTCTCAAATTGCTGTTATAATGTCTTAATCCACAAGGAAGGTCTTGTGTGGACACATGTATAAATCCAGAGTGTTCTGGTAGGATTATAGCTCCCCTTGCACTAAGGGGTTCCCAGGGCACTTACATGATGTGTAGTTGTTGTTATTCACCACCCCCCCAGGGGCTGGATCTTATCCCCTGTGCAAAATCAGAAGCAGTTTCCCTAGTCTTGATTCACCTGGTTGCAGTTCTCACCCTCTTCCTAGGAGTCCACTCTGCTGAGTTCCCATCAGGTCTTCGTCTGCACTGACTCTACACCAGGTAGCTGGAGGTTGGACCGCTCCTTCAGCCTAGATACTTTATTTCTCTCTTCATCGTGTCCTCCAAAAAGCCTCATCTGAATGTGTAGGTTGGTTTAGGTGGCTAGTTTTCCTTCCTTCCTTCCTTCCTTCCCTCCCTCCTTCCTTCCTTCCTTCCTTCCTTCGCTTTCTTTTTTTTTTTTGAGGCGGGGTCTGGCTTTGTCACCCAGGCTGGAGTGCAGTGGTGCGATCTCGGATCGCTGCAACCTCCGCCTCCCAGGTTCAAGCGATTCTCCTGCCTCAGCCTCCCGAGTAGCTGGGATTACAGGTGCGTGCCACCAGGCCCAGCTAATTTTTGTATTTTTAGTAGAGACAGGGTTTCACCATGTTAGTCAGGCTGGTCTCGAACTCCTGACCTCGGTGATCCACCCACCTCGGCCTCCCAAAGTGTTGGGATGACAGGTGTGAGCCATCGTGCTAGGCCCATTTTATTCTTTTAATTATCAAAGCCTAACCTGTAGTGGGAGATGTCTGATGAGTTTTTCTCAGATTGAACACCAGCAATAAGGTTTGAGCCTTAAGGTGGCGTCATTTCACGTAGAGTGTGGAATCTCTGAACACTTGCACTAGACAATCGGTCACGAGCAGGAGCCCTTGAGTTCCATTCCTGGATGCCGTTCTCAAAGTGAACACAATGAAATACAAGTTTCACTTGTGTTTGCATAAGGGCAAAACAACTGACAGCGTCTTCTCTTCTTGAGAAGAGAGGACTGTGCATTATACAAGCAGGTGTATATACTATCTCCTCACACTTCTTACCAAGGAGACAGAAGCTGAGAAGAAATGAGATTAGGTGTTGTCTATCAAGGGCAGACGGAAAGAAGTGGGTAGCTATGACTGTGTTTGTGGTGTGTGGGATGAAAAAAGAAGATTTGAAGGATAAAACTAGAAGGGAAGTGAAAATGACTCTAAAGTGCCTTATTTGGAGAGCAATGAGACTGACTGACTGGTTCATGTTAATGGGATCATCTCACCACTGCTGAGGGTTTTACATGCATACTATTATTTAATTCTAATGACTTTCACGTAAAGAAAGTGTAGTCTTCATTTACTGAGACTTAAAAAGATTAAATGGCTTTTCCAAGCTCACACAGTCCATGTAGCCCAGAGATGGGAAGCTATATCTGAACCCCAAATGTTGATTTTACTTATCCGCCTGCCTGCCTCTTCCCTGTTGAACCTGGGAAGGCATCAGGGCACCCAGTTAGTGGTGTCCTACAGATAGACAAATTTTAAACTGGATTATGAAAAGCTAGGCTAGCTTTCGTACTTAAACAACACTGGGGCCAGGTGCGGTGGCTCATGCCTGTAATCCCAGCACTTTGGGAGGCCGAGGAGGGCAGATCATGAGGTCAGGAGATTGAGACCATCCTGGCCAGTATGGCAAAACCCCGTCACTACTAAAATACAAAAAATAAATTAGCTGGGCATGATGGCGCCCGCCTGTAGTCCCAGCTACTCGGGAGACTGAGGCAGGGGAATCGGTTGAACCTGGGAGGCGGAGATTGCAGTGAGCCAAAATCATGCCACTGCATTCCAGCCTGGTGACAGAGCAAGACTCTGTCTCAAAACAAAACAAAAAACAATACTGGAACTTCTTTCCCTCCTGTTCCTCCAATTCCCTTCCCTGGATTATCTTCCTCTTTGTCACTACCACACATCTAGAAAGATTAGCATTTCTATTACAGAAGCAAATGTCAAAAGGAGATTTAGAGGGAGTTACAGTTGCTTTAAAAAACAAAACAAAACAAAACAAAAATCCCTGCCCTTTGCCATCACAAGCCCATGATCATCACAGTTATCTGTCAGTCAAGCACCTAACCGTAATGGAAGTCAACAAATAAAACGCATCACTTGAGATCGGATAAAGAACACAGGATGAGCGTGAGTTTAATCTTTGTCCATCCTCTTTAGAAATCTGAAAAAATAACAACTTAAAATGACAACAAAAGAACAAAGTGACAAATTCTACGGCGTGGTGGAAACAAGCAAATGACAATATTTGATGAGAAATATTTAAGATTTTCTGATGGATGAAGAGCAGATAGGATGAAATCTACAGGGAAATAAGATGAGAGGAAACTGAAGTTCAAACGTGCTGGAGAAAAAATCCTTCAGATAGAGGAGCTTTTGGAAGGAAAGAGGAAATTAGGTTTAAGATAGGTCTTGGATAATTATTGAAATTGAACACAGGCAGGATGAGAGTAGAAATACACAATGAGAGGTGGACCGCTACCTGATACCACTTTGCTCTGTCCTTCCGCAACATATATATATATATTTTCACATAATGTTTTTATTGTTCCCTTCAGTGCAAAGGACTATTGGGGAAGAAAGGTCTTCCCAGTGGGCAGCAGAAAACCATCAGGTTAAGCAAAAATAATTGCTATCAAGGATCCTAGGTGAGTATGAGTTCAGAAGTTTGCTGGTCATCACAAGTCTTTGGGTTATTCAGTCTGCTTCTGTGTGCAGTTCTTCTAGAATTCTATTTAAAAAAAAAGCCATCAACTCATTATGGGTGCCAAAGGGGTAACCCCTTTTCCTTCTAGGCTACACATGAAAAAATCTGATTTTCATCATCCTGAGTGGCACCCGTTTTTGCAGAGGACACAAACTGCCTCTTTCAGGTGGTCTCAAACTCCCCTTCTTTGGGTGGTACCTTTGATGTGGTTGTGCTTGATGTTCTTAAGTCTCTGGTTTCAAGGTGGGACAGACTTACCATGAGATGCAGGTATCTCAAGAAAGGTCCAGCATGACTTACTAACTGTGGGGATGGTCAAGATGGGGTGTTAGGGCCTGGCTTACATCGCTGCCAGTCTGTTCTTTCTCTGAAATTCCTTTAGGTAAGATCAGTTCCCCAGG